AAATTGCTTTTGAAAGAAACTGTTGCTAGATCATTATTTTTTCTTCATCAAATATTGTCGGAATTTTTTTTTTCTCTCTGTCTTACATCAAACTGTTGTTTTTTATAATCAAATCAAACATGCAACTAAACAGATTTTTCTGAGATTCATTCCGATCCTAGTGCCGTATTAATTGACATGTTTTGTTTCGATTGTATAAAAGTAAAAACAGTCGTATGTGAGTTAAATTTGTGATTATTTGAATTGAGCGAAGTTTTAGCTTTTTAAAAGAAATGTTTTTGAATACTTAAAATTAAGAGTATTGACCCATTTTCATGATCCAAAATTGTTTTCGTGGTCATTGTATAGTCTGAAGTAGTGTCTATCTACATTTTGGAATCGAAAAATTGTCTTTCAGCGTTAAAGAGAACTCTACATTGTTTTTCTTCGCTCAGTTTATCCATGAAGTAAAATGCAGTAACGCTCACGTTTCTTCGGAGTAGTATGTCCGATCCAATAGAAACTTTTTTCATATATACTATACACTGTTTGGAATGAATATTTGTTGTTTCAAAAATAGAGGCACTTTTCCTAAGGGTACCTTCGATATTTTGGCTTTATTGTTCGAAAGTCAAAAACAATATCCACACCAAAATAGTGTATAGTGCCTGTAAAAAAATGTTCATCTAAATCGAACATAGCATCTCGGAAGAAAAATGAGGCAAATATGATTCCACTATCTTATGAAAAACAGCATCCGGGACTTTTCAGTGTTTGACAATTTTTGGTCTCTCATCAAGATCTATCTGTTCTGAAAGTTTCAAAGTTTTCTAATGACTCGTCCTCCAGAAACTCCCGAAAAAAAAACAATGATACCATGACATTGTCAAGAGATATATAACAAACAAGAACCCAAAAATAGCTCATTTGGCAACAGAAAATTCTCTGTGGGTCTTTATTCTATATATTTAATGGGCGGTTATTTTTTGTTTGAATAAGCATGTCACAATGCAGAGCATGACAAAGCTTCTTTTTTTAAGCTCTTAATTTCTAAGCGAAGAAAAACGGATGGCAAGTTCAATATATCTATTTATAGAAGTGCTTCATTAAATGATAAGAATAAAAAAAAAACTTTAATTCAAAAATCAAGCTTCACCAAGCACTGCAGCTTTACATGTTCTTTCAAACGAAAGATATTGACTTGCAATGAAGTTCTTCAAAGAATTCTGGGATATGCAATCAGAAAATGATGGAAACCATCTAAAATTTTCAGCACAAAATGAGCTGCCAAATAAAAAATATAAGGCTTCAAACTATCTTCGCATGTATTTATGTCAATTTCGAATTCATCATCAACTATTTGTTTGTTCTTATTACTATCGGTACAGTCAATATCTAAATATTTAGAGAAAAAAAAATCTGATGAATAACTGATATTTATTTATCGTTTTATATTATTTTTAGATTAGAATATCCAATGATGATGCTGATGATGTCTCTATGGATTGATATATTAGAGTTTTAATGTTCTAGTTTTTTTTTTTCTTTCTTATTTGTTTCAAATACATGAACGATCAAAACAGAAAACAAACAGAGCGGATATAATCGGATGTTAAATATTCCCGCATGATGATAATTTTTGTTGCTTAGAATCGTAATTTTTGAAAGAACCATTTGTGTTTGCCTGTTTTATATCTAAACAAAAAGAATAAAAAATCGTTCGTTTTTAAAATCAAAATAATCTATTCTTTGTTTACCGTTCTTCAAATTTGTCTTTAACATCTTGAAGAGCTTTTCGTCGAAGACCAGCATCACGAAATACTTCTTTATTGATTAAACTTTTTTCAAAATTAATATCAACAGTATATCTAGAAAGAAAAAAAATATTTCGTTTTTGATAAAATTCTTTTTCTAATTTCTTACCGAGTTGCCATTAAATGATTATAATTAACAACTTTAACAAATGATTTTATTTTATTACGACGTGCTTGTTTTTTCTTTCCCATGCATTTGGTTATCTTTCGTGGATAACGAGAAATACCAGCAACAAGTGCATGACCATAACCTCGTTCATTACTACCTTCATCATGTGGCTAAAGAATATAAAAATTATTAAATAAATTGAATTTGAAATTAAAAAAGAAGAAACTTTTTACTTTGATTATCACAGCCTTACGACCAGCATAGCGGCCTGCTAAGACAATGACAACTTTTTGGTTTTTCATTATTTTCACCATGGTTAATTCGATGAAAAAATCTAAAGGATAAAATTAAAGATACTTTCTTTTCTTTTTTCTCAAGTAAAAAAAAAAACAACAATAAATAGTAAATGAAGGTATATGAATGACTGACTGACGAACTGTTAAGTCATTTGATTGGTTGATATTTTTGCCTGCCGGCCTCTGTTTACTAAACATGGAGGAGCTTCAAACAGAATAGGATTGATCAATAGAAAAAACCAATCAATAAATAAAATTTATTGGATGCCGAATATTATTTTTCTATCAAGGATATTAACCTTTCTCTTTTCGTTTATTAAAATAATTGAATGCCTTCTGTAGGTCCTTATTTAGCTCGATTTTTCTTTTTACCAAGTTATGGGTAATAGAAAACGGTTATTTAATCATTTATTCATATATAAGTTTTTTTTTTCTAGTTACACTCAATTATTATCATATCTCGGTATTCGACACAGTTATGATCGTATCGATGAAACAGTTTATATTGGTATATTACCAACAATTGCTTTGCAAAAATATTTAATTGAACATGAGAAAGTTGATGCCGTTATATCAATGAATGAAGATTATGAATTAACGTGAGTGTTGTTTTCATTAACTCTTTTTTGAGTAACTCACGAGTGCAAGAAAGATATTGAGGTTTGACACAATTTACTTTTGTCAGGTAATCTGAAATGTGCTATTAATTTTGCTCGTATGTATATTAGAAATGAAGAAGATACAAAATAAATGAAATGATTTAGAGATTAGAGGATCAATATGAAGTCGTCTTGGCAATAAGATATTTTAGAATGGATAAACCCGAGTTTCTTAATTTTCTCTTTCTATGAATATTTAATATAGTGAGTGGTCGTTTTCGATGAATATCTCAAATCATATACTATTTAACCTTCATACTTGATGTAAATAACGAAAAGGTATCTAGCGCAATTTTGAAGTAAAAACAATATTTTTCAGCTGACGAGAGAACATCTTGAAGTATCTAATCGCTTTTTGATTGAGACTGTATTCATGTGAGAGACTATAGTAGTATAAAAGCCTCAGGGAATTCGACTGTGTGAGCTTTTGTGAGTTTTAGATCTTCTACGCTGAGATGCGAGTATTGAAAAGTCTTCGAATAAACAAAAGCAATCATTCTTTTTATAGCGAATTTTTCACAATGAGCTCATGCCATTAAGAGCTTCATTTATGAAAAGTTTCAAGTCGAAATTCGGTTTACATGGTGACCTAAGTGAACTACAGTTTTCTGTTAAAAAATGCAGTAAAAATTCTATATATCAAAAAAAAGGCTCTGACAATTGAACCCTTTTAGTCTTTTACACTATTCTCTATGACCTCTCACTTGAATATAGTTTCAATCAAAAAGCGATTTGACAATTCGAGACATTACTTCGCCAGCTGAACAGTATTTTTTGGAAGATCAAAGTCTCAAATTTCAAAAGTGATGTTCAATTATAACAGCTTAAAAGCTAACACTTGAATATCATTTTATAAAGTCTTCATCTCTTTTGAGTCACGAATTATAAGCATTTTATAGTAAATGCAATGAATCATTTATATCACATGCATCATTCAGGAAAAAAAGGCTTAGACTTGTCTGATGATCAAATTTCGTTGATACGAATGATTACATAAAATTTGAAGTTCTTAACTTATCATAATCCAATAATGTGTTACTCAAGAGGCTAAACAAGAAAAATAAGTTGAAGAGGATTATCTCTTCAAATTTTGCTTGAATTCTCATTAGCATAAAATATTATGATGAGACTCTAAATATGTTCTTGATATTCATTATCTCGAATTGAAAGAATCAATGAGAATTATCTTGCAAAACTTAATAGTCTGATCTCTTATTTTCAACCTTAAGTATTCATTTTTTGTTTTTAATTAAGATGAATGACATGAGTGAAAATCCTTTTAGACTTTTATTAATCTAATCAAGAACTATTTTCGTTGTTCATTAATAAAGTATAGTTTCGACGATGAGTCTAATTCATGAAATATCTTACTCTTTTGATATTTGATTTTGTCACAATATCACAAGATTAGTACATAATAACTTAAATCTTTCAAGACAGGAGGCACATAAGGTTTTTTCTATTTCGAAATAGTTCAAATTTATTGATGCATACTATATTTATCATGAGATTGATAAGCAATGAAAATTAATTTCGTATTTTATTATTTTGCTTTGAAAAAGAAAAACGAATTCCAAAGTATAGAGATATCTTGTACAGCTCTATCGCTTACTTTACGTCAGATATCGATTCAAATAAAATCGTTAAACAACTAACTACTCGATGATATATATATATATATATATATTCTTTTCAGATATGTATCTGATCCTAATCTTTGGACTAAACATGAAATTCAACATTTACGTTTACCTACAGTTGATTTTTCAAATCCTCAAGTTGAAAATCTTTTTCATGGTATTGAATTTCTTCGAACAGTACGTCAAGAAAAAAAACGAGCCTATATACATTGTAAAGCTGGTCGTCAACGTAGTGCTAATTTAGTAGCATGTTATTTAATTGATACATATGGTATGACACCAGAAGAAGCTGCACGTCATGTTCGTTCAATTCGACCAAGTACAATATTTGGTACACGTGAAATGCAACGTTTACATGATTTTGTTGTACATTTACAAGAAGAATATTATAAAAAAAAACAAGAAGAAAATGAAAAAAATAAAATATCAACATAAATTTAATATTTATAATATGTAAAAGTATTGAATAAAGCAAAATATTTTTTTTTTCTATGCTTTTTTAGATGAGTGTTCTACTATCACCGAAAAAGAAAAATGTTTATCTTGATAAGATAAATGAAAATTTAATATCATTTTTTCGATATATAGAAAAATTTAATCAAATTCTTAATGAATTAAGTCAATTTAGTAATGGAGCAACAGTTCATATAAATGATATTGAACGAATACTGGGAAATAATAATAATGACGATGATGATGATGATGATAATAATGAAGATGAACATGAAAATGATGAACAACGATTAATATCTCATTATGAAAAAGAATTAATGGCTGGTGAAAAGTTATGTCAATTAAATGAGAATTTAAACATTTCAATGCATGATATTCGACAATCATGGTAAGAGGATATCGTGTTTACATATATATATATATAAGAATCTACTGTGCAACATTATAGATTTGTTTTTACTATAAATAAGAATGTTCTACGTATCACCAATGACTTCTCATAAGACAAACAATAAGATATCAATTGTAACTTATGATGACATGCATGGAAATAGAGACATCTGTCTGTTAGAATTCACAGAGATGAGAAACCAAACATTCTCATTATAAATATAAACAGTCATTAGCAATTATATACCGAAAAATGATTCATACGAAAATCTTGATTTAGTGAATATGTACTCGATCGTAGGTTTATTATTGATTTATAAATTTCCTATGCAGCGATGAAGGATCTATAAAATGGTTTCGGTTCCGTTGAGACCAGAAGCTATATTTTTTCAAGTCAATTTTGATAGAATTTTTCATATCAAGAATTAGACTATACAATTTCGTATTTCTTATCCTATAGAAAATGACTACTTTTATTTAAGACACCGATATAGATGTTTTACTAATTTTGATTTCATTTTCAAGAATCGGAGTTTTTCCTTAATATATATATATATACTTTTGAAAATAGGAAATACAAATTGTATGTGTAAATTTGATTCACTGCTTTCAACTTCTTAGTGTTATTGTTGAACTTGTCGATATTTTCAAAAGAAAGTTTTGATATGTGTTCAAAAGAGAATATAAACGCTTATGTTTAATCTTACAAAAAACCGTTCCAGAATGGACTCTAAAGAATATTAGCCCTAGTTCTGTTGATTCTAAATTTTCCCTTAGAGAGTTTTTGAATCAGATGATAGAAGCCTGAAAAAAACTCTAACTGGAACAAAGATCTTAGTTTGATGTATCTCCTCGTTCACTAAATTTTATGTGTTTGAAGAATTAAATAGATTATAGAAAAAATTTCTCGCTTTGAGAAACGAAATCAAGACCAGAACTAGTACAAAAGTTTTACCAAAATCAGCATTAGCAAAAATTTCAATCAAGTCCAGAACTAAAAGAAATTGATATTACAGATCCTTAACTTCGATAGATGAGCTTACAGTATGATACTTTTTCTTCATTTTCACAGACAAGCTGAACATTTTTTTTTAAAATTATTATGTACCCTATTAATATGGAATGTTTTCGCGAGTACTAGGACAATATGTCGCACGAAATGTAAGTCGTAATGTATCCTGGAAGAGCATTGAAAGTGTGTGGGTTAAGGTGTTGATTAGACAGAGGTGTAGAATCTATCCACGTGCGCGAACGCGCTTTCGGGAACATTTTTTTCTGTCTAGGGAAATCAGAGATGGGAAGCTTAAATTTGAATTGAAGCGGATCAGAGTGGTTGTTCAAAACTATTGATTGTGTGGAAATTCTTCGAGGTATTTTTCTGTTTGAAGGCAATTTTCTCTTTGTTATGGCAGTATCTGTACCTATGCGGTGAAGGTACGCAAAAGATCTTCACTCATGCATCGGCGACGAATTGTCTAATCACTGTTTTCGACAACGATATCTACTTCATGTAAATCAAACCGGACAAATGTCGCCGATTTATCCGAGGTATTAGCCAATAGTTGCGAAAGCCTAGCGGTATACTGACGTTAGTGCGAATGAACATGCGATATGGAAGTAAAAAGTCTAATCCCAAAAATCGGTTAACCTGAATTTGATCGAAAAATAAAAATGTCAAAAAAACAAACGCAAAAACATCGAAAATAAAAATGCCGAAACGGCAAAATGTCAAAAATAATAATGTCCAAAGAGAAAAATGAAAAATGTTGAACAACGATAGACGAGAATAGTAGGAGTAAGGGTGATAGTGTGAGGGTGAGAATGAGAGGGCAAGAGTGAGAATGAAGATGAGTAGGTGAGGGTGGGAGTGAGGGTGAAGGTGAGGGGTTGAGGATCACTTAATAGACAATTTCGTCTTAGTGTTTAGGTTGTTTACTGCAAAACAGTAGACCATTTCTTTTTGACAGTTTTTTCGACATTTTCCCTATCGACATTTTTACTTTTGACATTTTTATTTTCGACATTTTTACTTTCGCCGTTATTCAGGTGAATCCAAGAATCAATCTTAATGTCATTATTCCTTATGGATTCTTTTCAATAATAATTCAAAATTTATCGAAATGTGTTCAGCAAAATTATTTAAAAGCTATCTAAAGTTAAATCTATCTCTAAATATTTTAATCTTTAGGAATACACTTGAAAAACAAGGTGCAGCAATATCAAAATTAGTCTATCAATTACCAAAACTTATTTGTCTATTTCTTGACACAACTAAAAATGATACTGATTTTAATGATCCATATTTTCGATCTGAAATGACTAATCTCAATGATCAATTTCCTATTATTGGACAATTTTATTATGAATTGTAAGATGATAATTTTTACTCTTGTTCATATAAGATTTTAATAAATTCTTTTATTTTTGCTCTATAGATGTCTTCAAATTCAAATCAATTTTCTTGATTTATCAAATATGAAAAAAATAAAACATTTAGCAACTATTTTAGATTTAGTTTCATCTCGATCAATTTCGATTTCAGGTAGAAATCGAATAAGATTTTATTTTTTGTTTCATATTCTTTTTCTTTTAGTACCTATTCAGATTGTACGGCAAATACAGACAAAACTTAATTGATTTTCTTTTTCAGATGTAATATTATGACAAATTTTATAGTTAAACATTTACGTACACTTGCTATTGCAAGTGTTACGTTAACATCATCCTATTACTTCTGTAATCATGATCAAATACGAAACCGTTTATTTTCTTTATTAAAAGTCGAAGCTTCTGAATATGTAAATGAAAATTAATTTTGTTATTTGTAATCAAATATTTATTTTAAAGGAACGAAGAAATGCAAAAATAGCATCTAGTCGAAGTCGTTTTATCGAACAAAAGCATAAAAAAATTGATGACGACGATGACGACGATGATGATGATGAGGACGATGATGACAATGAATCAAATACAACTGTTCAAACTGTATCAAATATGCGTGAAAGACGTTTTCGAGAATTTGCTTCTATTGAATATAATGGACAAATATATATGGTAAATTAGTTTTATATTAATGATTATTGTTTTTTTTAAATGATTTCTTTTAGACACCGATGGATTTTCTTGAATCTGTTATTGTAGAACGACCACGACGTATGAATGAATGATTAAATTGAAAGTTTTTTTTTCTAAGAATAAATTCTTTTTTTTGTATTAGCTCGTATTGGTCGTCGAATTTTAACTGATGATATGGTACACTCGATTTTATATAGTACACCACCAAAACATCGAGGATCAAAAAGATTTTTTCGCAATCTTGAAGATGCTGGTTAAATTTATAATAATAAATTTTATATTATTTTATATCTTCTTTTTTAATGTCAAGGTCTTATTTCATTTTCTGAATATTTATTTCTATGGGTGATTTTAACAAGTAAAAATCAATGTTTTTAATTAATAATATTTATTTATTATTATTATTTTAGAATCTTTTACACAATTTGAAATTGCATTTGCTATGTTTGATACTGATGGTAATGTTTAAATTATTTTATTTAAACAATACAATAAAGACTAGTTGATAAAAGTGCAAAAGTCTTAGCACAAAATATTCGCTCAATTTTTAACCATTAAAAGACAGTAGATTAAAGCAAGAAGCCTTTAGTTAGAATCAGAATTCTACGCTACTTTCTAATGTAGAGGGAGTATCAAAATTATTCAACAAGAATTATTTTCAATTTTTTCCGACTATCGTAAGCATTAGAACAAATCCAAATGGTGACTCGAATAAAGAAAATGGTTTTCAAAGGAAATATAGGTAAATAAAAATTATTATTAGATTTCCAAAAATAGGAACTCCAGAAAACTAAAACCCCGTTTTTTTCAGTACCTAGAACGCTAGAGCAAAAAATACTCTACAAAATGAATCATTGCTGAGTTCTCTGCGACATTTTTTAGCCAAGATACAGCAATCTTACAGAAGTCCTAAAAGTCATTCTTTTTTACTATTTCCTATAGAAAAGCCATTTTTTGACCTACAATCAACTTGCTGAACTCAGCTAAAAGCGTCACAGAGAACTTGAAGATGTTTCATTTTGTAGAAAATTATTTACTCTAGCATTATATGCAGTCTAAACAGAATTATATTGGCGCGTTCTAGTCGCTGAAAAACTCGGGTTTTGGTATTCTGAAGCTTCCTGTCTATGGAAACCAGATAATACCTTATATTTCCTTATATTTTTGGTGGAAACAATTTTCTCTATTCGTAGCTATTATAAAGTCTATCGCAAGAAAAATGCTTCTTTTTTTAATTTACGCCGTAAAATGACCATCCGTCAGAACTTGGTCATTTTTTAGTAGATTAGCCAAAACTCAATTCTTGAGTCATTTTGTAGAGTAGAGATCACCATTAAGTACTATATACTTGCAGAACTTATTTGTTGTTTCTAGGAAACAAATTTGTCCTTAGAAAAATAAAAGTTTTGCCTCTCCAAAAAATATTCTTTGAATTCTGTTCAGATTTACTTATAGCTCAATAGTCAAGTCACAGAAAAATCCTAAACATATATTCCTGAAACAGTATAAAATCCTCAGTCTAATACACTATCAAATACGCAAAAACATTCTCAAATATTTTGACTCTTATGAAACAATAGAATGACAATTTTTAGAAGAAAATTCTGGACAAATATTCGAAAAGAATGAAAATGTCTGATTCTAGCTAACTGTTTTTGGCTTGAAGCAATTGTTTTTAAGTGACCGAAAGATGAAACAATCTTTTGTACCAAGACTTTTATGTCATATAGCTTAATATAAAAAATTCTCACAAAATTATGTTAGTGTTTATATGAGTGATCGATTGCCAAATAAATCAATAATAACGGAAAAAGCAAAATACGAACGTACGGTGAACACTTAAAAATAATAACGTTGATACTATGGAGGATAGTAACGAAATATATATTTTTTGAATAAATCTTTATTAAAATCATATTCGATCGTCTAATGAAAATCTTGGACGAACTGTCCATTGTGCATAATATTTTTGATTGATCATAGTTTTAATTTTTTCTAATATTTTTTTCAAGAGGGTCTTTCTTTTCATATAAATGATAAGTAGACCGGTAAATAGATGCGACAGATGTTTTGCAACCAATTCTTATTGTACGACAACACTATAATAAAAGAAATCATTCGTTAAACTTATTTTTCAGTGTACGACTTGATGCCATAAACAATATTCACCCTAAGTCCTTGTTATATGCAGCGGAAATGAACCAGATATTTTTTATTTTCATCAGCTAAGAACGAAAATTTCTTTCTCTTTTTCTATGATGCTTCGAATTGATTAGGCATACTTAATATCAATATTGTTTTTCTATATGTAGGTAATCAATTGGTTGATAAACATGAATTTCTTGTCGTATGTTTGCAATTTTCTGTCTTCTTTTTATTTCAAATAAGTTTAATCTAGCTTGGAACAGTCATGAGTGATAAACGTATGTTACATCGACAAACATCAAAGCCAATGTTGAGTGAAAAGTTGAATTCTCCGAATGTAAGTTTAATTAAGATATTAATTGCAGAGTGTCCTAAAAGTTCATCAAGAAAATTAACGCAAATATCTCTTAAACAATTCAAGTGATTTGATGGATTTTTTTATAATATGTAAGTTTTATTTCATGTATTTTCAAATAAATGTCTGTGTCTACAAACGTTAGAATAAAAATAGTTGTATAAATGAACAAAGAACCTTGCCAGATTTGGTGACCTATCTTGAACTATGAAACCATATATGTAGTTTTGTAGAGCAATTTCCGATGCATCAAATGGTATATAAGAAATCAAGTTTTTGATATTCTGAAGATCCATATATTGGCTAGAATCCATGAGACATATATTTGTCTTACTCATCGACATTGTAGTTTCTAAGATAAACTTATGCAAATTTCGTTTCTAAACTCAATTGAATATAGTTGTTGGTGCTCTTTGATTTTCTATACTCAATAGTTTTCATTATTGCTATCTACATACTTAAAACTGGTCTCTTTTCTTACGTCTAGATCATTTCTCGACTATTTGATATTTCAGTGTATTCAATTCTGTACCACAAAACAAGTGAGTACTAATGTGAAACTTTCTCGAAGCTTGCACATAGTCGAGCTCTAAAAGTTTCGCAAACTATATCTTTTGGAACAGCATAGACTCATTGCATACTTACAAGACTGTCCTCGAGAGAATGGCCTACTTTCCGATATGAAGGTGCTGGTGTATTGAGGATATTTTAACAATAGTCAACGATCGCATCAAAAATTTTTATGTATCAATTTTAGAGGAATCTATATGCTCTCATGTTCATTTCAAAAATACATTTTTCCATATCCTGGTACCCACTTCAGAGGTGTGAAGGTCAAAGTTTTTTTTTTCCATTAATATAGAAGTTATTCATATCAGTTCATCAGGGATGATGTGTTGATTATTGTTAGAATATTCAAGATATGCCGATCCCTCGTCATATAGGTAAATAGGCTATTCTAGAAAGCAACCTTGCTGATTGGCAACAAATCCCTGCTGTTTTGAAAAATGTCGTCTGTGAAATTTTTACAGCTTCATAATGTACAATTTTTGAGAAAGGTTTACGCTGATACTCACGTGTTCCGTAGTCTAGAGTTGAGCACACTGGAATATCAAATAGTCAAGGAATGATCTAGACGTATTACGAGACCAGTTTTAAGCATGAAGAAAGCAATAATGAAAACTACTGAGTATAGAAAATCGAACAGCAACTGCAATTTTATCGAATTGAGTTTTGAAACAAAATTTGCATAAGTTTATCTTAGAAACTACGATGTCAATGAGTAAGACATATACATGTCTCATGGCTTCTAGCCAATATATGGACCTTCAGAGCATCAGAAATTGCTCTAAAAAATCACGTATATGGTTTCATAGTTCAAGATAGGTCACCAAATCTGGCAAGGTTCTTTGTTCATTTATAAAACTATGTTATTCTAATGTTTGTAGGCACAGGCATTTATTTGACAACATACAGAATAAAACTTACATATTATTATAAAAATCTATCAAATCACTTGAATTGTATAAGAGATATTTACGTTAACTTTCTTGACAAGCTTTTTGAACACTCTATATTTTATTTTTCTTAATTAATAAGTGTTCATTTCACGTAAACAACACTGCTTTATATATGTGCGCATGTATATGTGTTTAGCTTTTAAAAATGTTCTTCAAAAGACACAAGAAAAATACAATAAACACATCAACTATAAAAGATATAGTTGTCGTACGTATGAAAATATGTCTAATTATGTATCTTTATCTATAAGTAATTGAAATAATGAATGGAATAAAATTACTTAGTGCACGATGCAAGTCTTTCTTGCTTGATGTTAACTATGAGATGGCTCGGAAGAATTTTATATATTAAATCTTCGGATTGAATGAGTTTATTGATTTCTGTTCTTTTTTTCATTACAGAATCGTGAAGACGTGAATACAACGTTACTTTTACATTTTTTTGGAAAAAATGGTCGAGATACATTAAATTATACGGAATTCAAACGGTATGATAAAAAAAACATGAACCGTATATTGTATATAAATAAGAATTTTATTTGTATAGATTTATGGAAAATCTTCAAACGGAAGTACTTGAAATTGAATTTACAGGATTTTCACATAGTTTTAAAACAATATCTGATTTGGATTTTGCTGAAATACTTTTACGTTATACAGATTTTGATCGTAATACAAAAAAATTCATTTTAAAAAGAGTTAAAAGATTAACAGATCATTCAGATGTATGAAGGAAAAAAAACATGTTTCTCTATATATTTCTTTTTCTGATTTTTCAATATAGGGTATTACATTTGAACAATTTAAACACTTCTTTGAATTTCTTAATAATCTTGAAGAATTCAGTATTGCTATGCGTTTTCATCAATTATCAAATAAACCAATTTCACAAGGTGAATATTACAACATCATAGTTTTTGTTTGATTCTACTTAGGTTAAAGAAAGCCTTCAGTTATCAATCGTAAATACATGTTCCTTCGTCAGTAATTTTCTAGTGTGAAAATGTTTTGAAGTTACCGTTCAAGTATTGAGCTGAATTTCATATTTAACATTCTGCAGTATCTATTATATGAATTTTAGATATGTTGACGAATTAAACTGTTATGAACAAAATTTGCTAATAAAACATGAGAGAATTTCGAATGTTGAATATCTTAGGATAGAAGATACTAGAAAAGTTACAACTTGCCCAATGAACTAATCTCATTGAAAACTTCATTTGAAGAAAAAGAGCCTTCAACACAGATTGACAAGTAGACTAAAATAAGAGGAGATACAGTTTGATTGCGCGACGACAAAGACGAAGATGAGAATGAATTAACAACGTTCGATTTTGATTATTGTTATCTTGCATGTTGTTTTTGATTAGATGAAAGAAAGAAAAATTCTATAGTCTTAGGTTTGTCAGACTGCATTTTTCTAAAGACTATGTTCTTTTTTCTATCTAGTCATGCACAGATGCCAGAGCTTAGAACTAGCTCTAATCGTCAGAACAGAGAGTGAATTTCTTGGCACTGTTTTTGATAAACAATCAATAGGAAGCTAAAAGAAAAACTTCAGTAGCTCAGGAAACTGTATACTGCGACATCGCTTCTACGAATGATTATCAGTTCTCAGTAACAACTTCAAAAAGATTCCGGGGATGCTCCAGTTCTCTTAATCTCTCTCCCTGTAGCACCATCACTATTAACAACGTATCTACGCATCAGATATTATTCCTATGAAAACAATATTAACGATTCGTCTTCTAACAAAATTATTATGAGGATGAATTAATAGGTGCACCAGAGTAAATATTCCTCTAAGCATTTTCTTAATATCATCATGCTTTACTCTTTTTTCTAAAAAAAGATTCACGATTCAATTTTCTATAAGGACGTATGACAATTTTAACTACAAAATATTAAGCAGAAATACTAGAATGAATAATACTACAGGACTCTAATATGCTGAACTATATATCATTTTTTTTTCTGTAGCAACATGAAAGAATATGTTTAGAAGTATAACTAAATGTATTCTATCTCATGATGTACGTTGAAGCACGTTTCAAGCAAGTCTTTTGTTTTTAATGCAAATATTACTTCATTAAAATTGAATCAAAAGTATGCAAAATTTTTCTAGTTTCGTGCAATTTACTTGAATATAAAGTCCCATGCAAATTCATTCTAATGCACTATTACTACACGACGATGTCAAGAATATACTTAGAGGGATATGTATTCTGATGCATCTGTTGTTAGATACTAATTTTATTATTAAGAAAAAAAAACACATACGTTTATTTTCTTTTTTTGGTTTTAGCGGAATTTCAACGAGCTGTAAAAATTTCAACTGGTTTTGAACTTGAACCAAATATAATTGCTCTTATATTTCGAATTTTCGATGCAGATGGTGATCAACATTTGTAAATAAATTATTTTGTATAACTATTAATTCAAAAAAAAATTCACTGAATGTTCTTTTAGAAGTTACGATGAATTTATGTCTGTCATGAAAAATCGACTTTCTCGTGGTTTTCAGGTTTATTCTTTCTTGAAAACGCTTCTTTCATTGAATTATTTGGTTTTCATTTAAAGACATCTGATTCTTCTGAAGTATCAAATTCAAAGTTTGATCAATTTAAACATTGTTTTCGTGACCGAGCTAAGTAAGAGAATGTTTGACTGCTTTAAGCCACAAAAAAAAAACAATATTAATTTGCTATGAAACGCTTTATTGTTATTGCATGATAAAAAGAAGCTAATGCATTTGCACAAAATTCATATATTTAGAGAATACTGATCAACCAGCATTAATTAACTTTTTCATTTGACACATATTTAATTGAAAACACAATCATACTCCCATTTTTCTAAATGTGTGACGTTGGCTCAAACGCAAAAAAAATCAACAAACTAATTTGTTCTTTTTGTTTATTGTTTTACATTTATACAGTCTGAATTTCTTTAGATCTACAATCAGAGAAGAAAAAATACGGTTTTCTTTATGGAAAAAAGAACTTTTTCTATAGCTTAGTGTTTTTTATATCTATGATTATTTTTATGTTTTAATTTTAATTTTTCGCTCAATATATACATATATCTATTTATCTTTATGTGAGAAGAATTAATTTTCTAATATTCATTTTCAGATGTACACATCTCTTGAAGATGGACAATGAATTAAATGTATTTCGAGAACCATTGAGTGAGGGAGCGTAAGAGAAGAAAAAGAATCTTTTCAATTCTATCTCATTTTATTTTTAAAATCTTTTAGTTCTATTGAACAACGACAACAACAGACAAATATTGTTGTTGATAATTATTTATCATCATCATCAACTTCATTATCAGAAATAAATGATGAACATAAACAACAATCTATTGAAACACCAGTAACAACTATTAAAAAGAAACGCACGAAATGGCATGTATATGATACAGTAGCCAAATTTTTATTAAAAAATCGTTTTTATTTAACTGCTCTTGAATTTTATACTGAATTATTAGAAAATGGATATGATTTACCACGTTTACGTGAATATTTTTCTAATCCAGCTAATTTTGAAGGTTCATCAATAACATCAATTAATAAACAATCAACATTTATTCGTAATCTTAGTCATTATGCTGATGATAGTGTATCACTTGGAGGTGGTGGAAATGGTGATTATCTTCCTCGAACATCAAGTAGTCAAACATTTGACTCAACATCTATTGATAATATAACACGTTATTCGGAAGATATTGATTGGCAAAATGGAAATGGTAGTGGTGGAGCAATGACCAGTGCTAGTGGAATTGGTGAATTACGTGTTAATGATGAACGTGTTGCTGTTTTAGAATTTGAATTAAGAAAAGCACGAGATACAATACAAGAATTAAGGCAAACATTAACTTATGATTCAGCCGATGAACAACAACAACAAAATAAAAAATCAGAAGAGAGAAATGGAAAATATCAAGGTAAATAGGAATTAAATTTGCATATCATTTTTTTTTATCACTGTGGTCATTATTTGAAATATACAAGGAAAGGTCCACGTGAAATTAAATTTATCCTGTTTTACTTTTATGCTTTACAAGTCATTATGATTTTCATATTTGTGACTCTTTAGTGCTTGTAGGTGGTGGATGGGAGTAAATCTTAAGATAACGAAATACCTAGATACAGACCATAAATCACGCACCAATACACCCACACCTCTAAAGGTACAAAACTATTCTTATAGATGTAAAGGGTGTATAAGCATAAAAGTAAAATGAGATAAATTTAATTTTTGGTAGTCTCATATATAAGAGTGTATATTGAGTTTGAATAGTTTGATAAAAATCTGTCATTTGATAAACTTAATTTCTATTTTTGTTGATTCAGAGATTTGAGAACAGAAAGAATAATAATGAGTTCATTGAGAATTTGTTACTGTAGACAGAATATCCTAATATTGAAGATATATTGTTCAGTCTATGAACATATTTGATTACAAAAAATTTTACAACAAATATTATTCAATCGCTGTTTAGTATTTACTGAAATTGGGTTTTTACAATAGTTCTACGTAATATTCTAAACTTGAATATATTGACTCCTAATACTAATATGATAATTTTTGATTGTTAATGCAGTCGAAATGATGATTTGTTTATATGCTAACTGATTTGAATAATTAATAATAATCAACATTATTGCTTATTTAACTAAAGTTTACAAATAATCATTTATTTATTATAATATTAAAATTGAGCAGATGAAGTTTCTAATCGAATATTTGAATTAATCTTTGCCATCGTTTTCACGTCATTGGAATTTTCTGTTTGTTGAACGCACATATATTTTCGAAGAAATTAGTGAGTGTAAGTTAAAATCTAGGCTTTTGTGGCTTGTTAAGAGCATAGTTTTGTGCTCTTTTTGTTCAAGAGTAATACAAAAACTTTTTGAAAGATCTGAAAATGATAAGCCAACATATTTTTATTAACCCTATCAGTCACTTTTTGAACATACTAAAATCTATCGAAGTCAGTTGTTTCGTAAAGCGGATATTTCCCTACAATAAGTGACATTGAAATAACCTGTAGCTTTTACTAAAGTGAGGTTACAAGCACTTTTTCTAGAGCTCCTTTCAATGTATAACGATTGTCGATTCTTTAAAAATAAGTATTTACGAAAAACGAAAATTGATGTTCTTGATCAGAAAACAATTTCAAATCGTACATTCTGCAGAGAAGGTTCTGATCTATAAACAGATATATATATAAATAAATATTGCAACTTTTAGTTTCGAATTAAAATAGTGAAAATTCAATTTTCAGACGAGTTTTTTATTATATGACAAAGCGAAAAAAGAAATATTGAGTCTTTTTTTTGTTGTTATTGTTATTTCAGTTCATCCATTCTCATCGAATTCAACACAATCATTAATTCCATCAGGATTAACTGTTCGTCCATTTGAACGTCGTGCATTAAATTTTTTAGTTAATGAACATCTTTTAACAAATAATTATAAATTAACTAGTGTAACATTTGGAGAAGAAAATGATACATCAGATTTAGAAGATTGGGATAGTGTTGGATTAAATTGTGCACGACCACCTGATTTAAGTCAATTATATCGTTGGTATTGTCATCAATTATGTATTGAAGATGAAAAACCTAAAAAAGAAGATTTTACAATGTTAGTTAATTTTGATGAAAATTTTCAGGATGAATATAAAAATTTAAAAATATCAGTACAACAAATGGTATGTTCATTTTTTTAATTTCTATTTATAAATAATTTATTTCGATTTTATATATTAGCAACTTGATGTAATTGAATATAATAAACGAATAAATCATATAGAAGAAGAAAAATTACATCTTAATGAAGAAATTCATTCAATACAACATGAAAAGAAAAATCTTTTAATACAATTACAACTTTTACAAAATCGTTTAACATCTGATGAAACATCAAATTCAATAAAAATGGAAGATACCATACAATTGAATTCATCTAGACATTTACCACAAGTTTATCGACGTGCATTCGAACGTCATTCATTATCTTATCATATTATTGATGATAAACAAGATGAAGAAATTGAATTAAATAATGATTCTGAACAAAAAATACTTGAAAATGTTATTCATGAATTAAATACACTCTCACTTGATCAAAAAGATTTTTTAGATTTAATTGTACGAACTATTATAAAAGTTAATTTAAGTTTAATTGGATCAAAAAAATTAGTAAGTAATCTTAATTAGCAAATATTCTATTTTAATTCAAATAAGAGAACTTTTGGTAATTATCTTGATCGTTAAGATTAGTTGTTAAGTGATCCAAAAATTTCTCTTTAATGATTTTCTAATTAAGTATTGATCGTAGTCTGAAAGAGATTAATCATTTTAAAAGTTTTCATAAGATCAAATCCATTGACTATTCATGCTTATTAATACTTACTGATTTTAGTTTGGATTTCTTGATATATTGATTGGCTTTTTAGCTTTCAATAAGATGGAAAAAAGAATAATTTTAAACATCACCGTACTCCAAAGGTACGTCAAAGACATCCAAGCTATTTTAACTCTACGATTAACATGTGTCACGAGCATATTAGATTAAGTTCATTTTACAATAAGTCTCTCTGATAATAAAGCTTAACTACACGATGCAGTATTTGGGCTCTATTGCCAGACAGGATTATGTACAATGAACTTAAATTGGTATGCTCGTGACATACGTTGATAGAAGACTTGAAGTACAGAATTTTTACTTTTTCTTACTTGGCTTTCAATCATTTGAATTTTGTTACTCATATCAATGGCCCTAACATTTTAAAAATCGAAAGTTTTCAAGAAGATCTCTGCGAGAATAAAATTTGTAAGAGAACTGCTTTTATTATTGACCGAAAGATTTTTTAACAACATTTACCATTAGCTCCATTAGTACAAAAATAGTTATCGTGATTTGGCAATGTGTGAAGATTTTTGTTGTTTTAAAATACAAAGATGCTATAAATCGAAAAATTACACAAACACTCATGTTCGTCACAATAGATAGGAAACAAAGAGAGGTTACTAATGAAGACAGGAATTCAAGGGAGAAAAGCGTACTTCTGTCAACCTCTAGACGCATTAAAATTTTTCTTACAGTTTTTATATTATATAAGTATTGTATATAAATCTTTAGTTAATAGCATAATGATGAATAAAAAAGAAGAACAACATACGTATTTAACTTCGAGAAAAAGTTAAGTTTATAAATATATAACATAGGACTTTACTAGAAAACATATCCAAGTGTGAATCTTCGTTTTCAATCGGCTTCATGTCAGTTTGTAGAGCACGATGACACAATGTGTTTCTTTCTATAGACTACTTTCTAGATGTTAGATCGGTTTGAACTTCGAAAATTAGATTTTTTATGTCAGTTTGATTCTCAGCATTGAAAACTTTAACACTGGATGCATTTTAATTGACTCTACATATTGACACAATCAACATGAAAATGAAATCCTAACTATGTCAATATGTTTCACTTGTGAGAATTAAACTAACATAAAAAATTAAATTTCCAAAATAACTGTTTTCAATCATTTTTCTGAAGTTGGAATCAATCTGACTGCTCGAAGATAGTCGATGAGGAGAAACTCATTAGGTCAGCATGGTTTACAAATTGTCGTAAAGTTGATTGATAATGCAAGTACACACTAGAGTATCTTCCATCATCAGAATAAAGAATATTTCAGTCTTTCAACTACTTTATTATATAGGGTACTGCCTAGCTTTAGATTAACTAGCCTTATATCTTCCATATAAATATGACTAGCTGTAGCTCTGGACAGAAGGCAGTGCTATCACAGAGTTCTTATGCTGAATTGCTAGAGCTCTCCAGACACGGTAACTAACCACATACAAGCATTCGACTATGGTCATGGTATGACTGTTGGTACTGAAGTTTGAATACAGTAACTTGTAGATACGTGGTGAACAACGAAGTTACTCAGCAAAATTTTTGTTTTACACCTTTTCTCTTCTAAACGAACTTTATTCTTAGTGACTATTCTAAAAATAAGAATTGATGATAATGATATATTTTTTTTTCTTCTTAGGATCTTGTTCCATTAACAATCTACACATCAATATTACATCCCAAAAATGATGAACGTGATCGTTTACTTAAAACATTATTTAATCTATATAAAAATCCTTCATTTCAACAACGACAAGTTTTATTACATGCTTGTCTTTGTTTTGCAAAACAAAGTGGTCCATTACGTGTACATGCTGAATTATTACCACAATGTTGGGAAAATTTAAATAATAAAATTGATGAAAGACGTTGTCTTGTTGCTGAAGCATGTGGAATATTAACACCACATTTACCTGTAAATTTATTTGTTTAGAAAATAAGAAAATATTCAAAAAAACAAAATTGTTTTTTTTTTTGTCTGTTATAGAAAGATATTCGTGTTAGTTTAATATTTTCAATGTTACAACAAATGCTTGCTGAAGATAAATGTGATCAAGTACGATGTGTATGTAGTAAAAGTTTAGCAATGGTTATTAATGAAATAGATGATGAAACTCGATTGTCTCAAGTAAAATCTATCATTATTTTATATAAATAACTCTATTTTGTTTGTTTATTTGTTTGTTAAAGTGTATTGAATTACTTGATAGATGTCTATTGGATACATCTGATGTTGTACAATCAGCTAAGAAATATCTATTACCATCCATTGCTATGTGGTGTCTTGAATTAAATAAAGTTTGTTCTGTTTTAATAGAACATTATTTAATTAAAATTGAATCTCTTGTTCAAGTTAGTTTATTTAAATAGTTTCTTTATTTTTACAAAAAAAAAAAACAAATTTCTTGTGTTTTAGAATATTCAAAGTCCATCATCACTTGATAGTCAACGTTTTATTCAATTCATCCATATATTAACTAATTTAATTGTATTTATTTTTGCATCTGCTTTGAAAAGTATGACATTAGATAATGATCTTTCTCAAGCGATGTCATCAACACGAATATTACCTGATGCAACATCATCAGAATTCTATCAATTAAATATGATTTTATCTCCAAATAGTGAAAAATTACTTAATCATTATGATCAATGTGCCATTAATGGAGAATTTCCATTTACAGACCAAATTCAATCATATTTAGATGCTTTGTAAGATAATAGAAAGAAAAAAACAAATAAAAAAAAGTTTACGTTCTCTGCTGTTTTTTTTTTGTTTTGTATTATTAGTTTAAAACGTTCATTTGACACATTGGCAGTTATTGATATAATGAATGGAAAATTAATTCATGCATGTAGTGAATTTATTAAAACGATTGGTCGGTATTTTGGAAGAAATTTTTGGAAATTAAAAGTAAATAAAACGAAAATTATTTATTTTTTTATATTAATCATAGAGTTTACGAAAGAAATAAATGTTCAATCGATATTTGGATGAAATAAGAAGGAAGAATATCTCTCTCTTTCGACTACCTTGCAGTATAGTCTGTTGTCTAGAGCTTGTCGAGTCCAAAATTTTCCAACTTGGACCCTAGAAGGAAACCAACCCGACCAGCTCTACGGTTGTCCAGCGATAGATTCATTAGTCTGATATCTTTCCTATAATTAATAGTAGTTGTAGCTCTAGATTAAAGACTGACCTGACTCAGAATTCTTGCACTCAATCATTTGAGCTTCCCATACACACTAACTAATGTCCGCACCAGAATTAAAGAGGGGTTAGTGTAAATTGAATAACTCAACAACAGCAACAGCTAGCGACCTGCGGTTTTCACCAATCGAAAGAGCAAACCGGGGGCCGTCTTTTTTCACGATATTGTTTCGGGCAAAATTGCTTTGGACACTGTCATTTCTGAAAGTCTTTTCTGAGAAGACGTACAAATGGTATGCCAATACAATGAATNTTAGGAGACAAAGAAGTTATGTATTGAAGATGTGGCTATCAATACAAATAAGATTTTTCAGTATATTGATGTTAAATAAAAGTAATTAATTGATAGCAAATTATCTTAACCTCTCTGACAGTATACCATACATTTATAACAGTCAGAATTTTTGAGCTTCATACTATGGTTATTGAAGGGACCACACTAACAAGTTTTTCTTAGTTTAACCGAATTGAAAATATCATTTTTTTCTTTGAAATGGAAACTAGTTGTAGCATATGGTTTATGTTTATTTTAATACATATAATATATAAAAATAGCAACCTAAAAAATGTTATGCATCTTTCGACATTCAAATAAAAATTTTTCTTCATCTTCCTTATTTTCAGTACATGTTAGTATAAAATGATTCGATCCAAAAAAACAAACATTTGTTGACGAAAAACCCTTATATTTTAATTCACGCATACGTCGTTGATCATCACTTTCTTGAGCATCGATAACAAAGATTCGTTGTTGAAGATATTCATTTTGTTCATCTGTTACAAATAGAATCCATTGTTGAGTATCTTATTTAACGAATGAAAGACAAAACTTTTTTTTATAAATAAAATGCATTTAACATCATGAAATCTTACCATAGACTGGTGATATCGATAAAATACTATATTGTTTTGTATCTACTCGAAATAGACATTTCATTGCACGTGAAATATCACAAACAAGAATTTTATCTGTAAATAAAGCATCAATAGCAACTAAATGAGAACTTATTCGAATACGAAATATTTCCATTTTTTCTTTCATATGAATTTCATCTGCATATAAATCAGATTTCCAACAACGTTGTATCATTTGATTATTTGAATAATGTTCAATAACATCACCTAATGACGTACCAAGATTATGAACAACAAGAATTGAATCGCCACCAGAACATATATCTTTAAAAAACCCAAAACCAATATCAATATAACGTGTTATACGTTTTGTTGAACAATTAAGTTTAAGTAATTGTTTCGATGTAGCAAGAAGAAATCCGTTGGCATAAGCTGACCATGCCAATTGATTGAGATCACCATAATTTATATAATTATAATTAATATCCCATAGATGTTGACCAATATTATTAAATAATTGAAATATTGAACGAGATGATTTATAAATAATTAAATATTCTGGAGAAGTTGTAAAATGTGTCATATCAATAGGATCATAATCGAGAGTAAAAACTATTTTTGATAGTAATAAAAATTGATCTAAATCAGGTCGTATTGTAGTTTGTGAATTAAAAGGTAATAAATTAAAATTAGGCTTAATAAGTTGAATAGTTGTATTTTGTTTTGAGATAATTAATTCTACATGAGAAGATTCAAGTGTGTTTAAAGATTGTTTTAAATTATTGAACATCTATAATGGAAAAAATGTATATGCTAATCAAGTTAATTATTTATTGATCTAACCTCTTTTAAATTCTTTTCATCATCATTATCATTATTTAAAAGATTTTTCTTCATTCTATTGAATTCTTGATCATATTGTTCATAAGTTAAATAAATTTCTTTTTTCATTATTTCAACATTCTCAATCATGGTTTTTTGCCATTGATTTAATTGTTGAAATAATTCAGAACGATTATCATTAAATTGAAGTGTTTTCAAACGTGTTCGACAATTTTCAACAGCAGATATCAAATATGTATGTTCATTATCAATAGCTATTTGATGTTCAACAAGATGTTGTAAACAAAATATTAATGGACAATAAGCACATAAAACACTACTGGCTGCTTCAACACAATGTAAATGAGAACAAATTGATTTTGTTGATGGACGAAAACGTGTTAAAGTAGACATCTAGAAAGAAAATATCTCAATTTAATCATCATTTATATGAAGTACATTTTATTGTTGAAATCGAACATATGAATGATTTGTTTTGATAAATATAGGAATTTCTCGGTTTTTGTTTTTATCTCCTGAATTAGATTTTATTAATTAGAGATGACATTTTAAATGTGTATTTAAGTATAAGAAATTCTTCGAAGAACTATCGAGAACAAAAGAAAACAACTTTATCCAATCATATTTGTCCATAGATGACGATCATTCATATATTGCATTGTATCAAGTTTTCTAATAAGTTTTATCTAATGTTCGTTCATCTTATAATTGTTGATAATAACCGATTAATTATTTGATTGGTGTAATCAAAAGTGAAAGTTACTTTAATAATTTTCATTGAAATTCTTTTTAATGAAACGTGCCAAGAAAACCAAATGTTATTATCATCAAAAATAAATAGTCAAAATAATTTATTGTCCATTATGTACACTGTATAATCACCGAATAGAAAAAAGTATATCGTATCTTTAGGATGACTATCCCATTTGAATGGTTCCAACCATTGCACTGTGGCAAATGATAGTGTTACAGAAACACGAACATGCTGCTGACATTTTGCAATGTTCACTGCCACAAGACCATTCTTCATTTTAAGACTTGAGATAAAGCATAAAATTTGTAAACAGTTGTAAATAAAGTAATAAAAATAATAAATTGAAACTGCAATAAATTCCATTGTGTTTAGGTTCCATGTAGTTTATGAGGGTCACTGTGTCATCCACGAAAGCTTCACTTCGAACAATTTTTATTTATTTTCTTTTTATTGAAATAGATTTGAACCATTTGCGTTCCTCTCTGAATTTCTATAGCATGAAGCACATAATAAGTTTGGCAGAAGAATAGTCCACAGCACGAGAATAAAAACAATGATATCTAGTAAGATCAATATAATGACAGTTCTGTTCAACATGTTGATGATGATGGCTGCAAGTCATCTTCTCCAATCAATGAACATCGTGTGAGTTAGAGTATATGAAATGAGTAAAATCATAATGCTTATCACATCATATAAACACTATCTATGCATCACCAAAGTCTAAGCTTCTGATAATAACTTGATAGAAGTTGATACCTACACGAAAAGCACAACCTGTAGAGTATTTGGAAATCCAGCAAAATCAAATTGAACTATCGTAGCGACGATATTATATTTTGATGGTTGATCACAATCCTCGAGTAAGACATCGGCTACATTCTCATATTCTGACATCTCTGTGATATCGATTGCATGCATTCATGAACGGTGAATCTTGTAGGCACACCGAACGCTAATTTCTAATAAAGTTTGATTGAAATAACTTCTTTGAGATGCACCATTCACAACAAATCTATCGACGTCGAAACGAACGGTCGATTTGCTAACAGTTCGTTCTTCTTGTAAGTTCGAAAGTAGTCCTAACTCATTCTTCGACCTCAATAAACATGGCCGATATAAGCATATCTTGATCTTGGTCGAAGCATAAGACTATAGTTACATGCAGCAACTAAGTAGAAAATACTCGTAGCCAAGATATTTTATGGTTCAAATGGAATTCTTTAGATTTCAGGAGAAGTATAGACCTTTATCACAAGAGCAAAATAAATTGATACAATTAGACCGCGATGAAAATGAACAATTGAAAAATATGAAATATTCTTTCATTACTATTATCAAATCTCTAATTCCAGGAAAAAACTATAACACTTTGTTGCATTGAAATTAAGACGAAGTATTAAGTGGTATACTCAAAGGATGGTTTAGTTTGGATAGACGTCTCTTTTAAGGTATTCTAATATTTGCTTGGCATTTCAATGGGATCGAAAAAATCATCTTCTTTTTTTAAAATAAATTCATGCGCACTGTCTTTGTAGATGATGAAAGTCCATTAGTTTCAATATCGATACAGAGTTTTCATTAAATTTCCGAGAATCATTTAACAAACTGAGACATCAAAAGCCGACAAATGTTACTTTTAAGCACATTTGGTTGACTTCGTACCATATTTATAAAACTATTAAAGATCTTTTGTTCTTTCATAGTGTATGCGCATAGACTATATGTAGGTTCAACAGCTAAAAGAATGACATAATGGACAAAAATAAGCTCTTAATAATTGCTTTGTCTGGAATATTTCTAAATCTGTGAAGATTCATTCTGCAAGAACAAATATTTTCATTTGATCTGAATAATAATTTTGAAATTTTGTGTTTCATTAGAAACGAGAATTGTTCCTTCGTTGACAATTTTCTTCTCATGAATTTAACAATGATATTTCGAGTTTTGCTCATTTTATATGAAACCTAGTACGTATTCTTCATTTGGGATGAATAAAAAGTCTAGTGTTTTTAGCTCTTCAGTTTAAATTCATCATAGTTATATGGGATTCACAACAAATTTGACAAATGACACTGTATGGTTGACTTCAATACCTTCGCAACATATCCACGAGCATAGTGATTAAGCACAGTATTGAGTGTAAATGACAAACTCATATTATGAAACGTATGCTTTAATGCTGTATCAAATATTTGCTTTGTTTTACGTGTCGATGGATCCACAAAAGTTAACTCGATTCATGCTTTATTACCTGTACTCGTTAGAAGATGCTTTAGATAAGTGGATGTTATCTCTTTGTATGAAGTGAGCTTCGTTGAATCATTTCGAATCGAGACTGAAGTTCCGTGTTTAATTAATAGATATACAATACTTGCATACAATGCTGTGTTTCCATCAAGTGCAGGTCGATTGATTTCATTCACAGTCATACGTGCTAAATACCTTTTTATTCGCATTAAAAAAAACAATATTTCTACTCGAACAATTAAAATTCCTCACTTGACTGCAGTTGTTCACTAGATAATATACATTTTTAAGATCACTTTAGATCATCATTATTCTTAATTATACTTCATAGATTCAAACAAAAATGAATTCAATAAATTGACTTACGTACAAAAAATGGATGTACAATGATAGAGAACAAAAAGCGATTCATTTCCATTGTTCGTTTTAGCCTGTGAAAACAGCAGAAACTTACTGAAATAATTCCAAATAGACATTATTTCTCTAATTAGACTTGCAAATGTGCTGTAATATCAATAGTAGAGACTGTTTATAGTCAATATTTAATAGTCTACTAATCTTCAATATGATTATTAGATAAATTAATTATTCTCATTATCTTCTATTATATCATATAGATGGTAACTACAACACATAATAAATCCCATTGTCGTCAGATTATTATGACACTTTTGTATACAAAAAACTTTTGTTATGAAATAGCTCGTTCTAAACAGTAGATGTTGCATTGAATATATTCAATAATAAAAAATTGTTTATGAAAATTTTAATCTTAAGTAGTTTTGAGCTTATAGAAATTCTCTTCTTGAATAAAAGCGAAGGGCTTTTTCACTGTTAAAAAGCTAAAAGATTTGATTAAACAACTTTGTTTTTCAAAATTCTTACAAATGTTGAGCAATGATCGTTAATCCGAAGATATTTATATTTTTCGGTCATATTCAAACAAACAATTCTCATTTATGATAACTTCTGAAAATGAACTCCAATGTAAGTTTAAACAAAAAAGAAAAAGTTCATTAATAATAACAAAATAAAGTAGAGAATTTGAAATGAGATCAATGTAAAAAAAAAGAGGAGAAGAACACAAGAGTAACTGTACTGACGAGAGAACCGTTTCAATTGACAAAGCTTTTCTGAATCGAAGACTGTACATAACGTAGACCCTAGCCAAATATGAAAAATCTGCGAAAGTATAAACATTCAAAAGTCTTTTAGCCTATGACAT